GAATGGCAAACTATCTGTTTCGAAAGCCCAGCCTCCAACATGCGATCGATGCCCTCTGGCATGCTTTGGCTGCACATGCGCGCACGAGGGGCGTCAGATGCTAAGGCGCTATACAAACTGGGAAGTTCACGGTGCAAGTGGGACAACTGAAACTGCTCCCTGTCGTTCTCACTCCGTCCGCGACTAGACTACGACTCGTCCACAACGGTGATGTCAGTCTCGTCCTCTTCACTGCTACGTTCTTGAAGCACGTCGTCGGCGTCGTCCAACGAAATCTCGCACTTCGTAAATGACAGCATCAACCGCATCTTCTGCGCTTGTTCGGCGATCACGTTGCATGTCACAAGTAGGGACCGATTGCGCACTTTTGCGGCGTACGTTGCAAGCTTGACCTCCAACTCCGGAACTAGAGCATCACCCGCTCCGACGGGTTGAACTTGTGTCCAACAGCACAGTTGTTGGTTGCTTCTGGGTGAAGAATGGCCATAAAGGAGCACCGAAAACCTAAACTGCCCAGATCACGCGTGTCAATAAAAAAAACGTAGTTAGCGCTCGAGTTCAGCATGATCTCGACACTCGATCAAACGACGTGCGACCGTGAATCGTGTGAAAAACTGTAAAGAGAAGCCACCGGGAGAATGAGCTTTGAGGATATTCCAGCAGCCTCCGGAGAGGCTCTTACGAGAAGTGCCGCCACCCCGGTAGGGAGTGGTGGCACTCACCAGGGCGAAGGGCGTCGTGCGCCGTTCACCACCAGACATTCAGGTTAATTTGCGAATCGCTATCAATAATACTCGTTTGCACAAATAAAAACAAAAAAAATTTGTAAAATGATTGCACAGAATAGCGCAATGCTACAGGTACAGCCGGCTGAACTCGTAACAAGCCGAGGTGTTCTTGATACTGCGACTGTTTCATTTTTGCTGGTGGTGGAATGCTTTGGTTCAATTATAAGTCGACACCCCCACTTCAGATTTTCAAAAATTGGAAAGAGAGTCGACCTACATTTGTGTAAATACGGTAGTATAGTTTTACGCTCTTCTTGCACATGTATGTGCTTGTTGCCCCGCCGGCCGCTGGTTTCTTGCAGCAACCATTATGTCGGATGTATACTTGGGCTTAAAATTTGGCTTTGAGTGCCGGCAATAACACAAACGTCAGCATCTGGTTTTTGAAAGCACTTCTTCTGTGCAAGTGCTTTTGCGGGCGAAAGATTCTTCGGAACTATGCTCTTGCACCCTGGTCTTTGCCAGCGCCGAAGCCAACTCGTGAGATGGAGCACGTTCTTCGGCATCCCACTAGATGGCGCTGTGCATTTCGGATATGGTCGATTCACTGATGTTGCGTCGTGTGGTGCCTCGTGTACTAAACCGCAACCAATCACACACAGAACACAGAATGTATCAGCCGATCGTTGTTCATGCCTGCACATGTCATGGCTGAGCACCATTTTTCGATCAAACTAGAATGGACACCAGAGCAGATACAGTAGAGAAATCATTGAATCATTCGCCACAAACACAGTCCAAAGAAATGTCTCCGTGCCTTTGCTACTTTTCTAAAGCTGAAATTGAAATCTTGATGCCAGCACTGGCTTAGTTGCATGTTCATTCTCGACTCCATCTGACGACGTAATTTTAACGGCAAATCATTCTTTCTTTCTTTCCTAAAGTTTTAAACAAGTTTTATTTACTCTCCCCCTTCCCACGTCCCCTTTCCACCTCTCTCCCTTTTTTACCTACGGGTCCAACTACAAAGAATGCGTTTAGAATCGTTCATCTTATTGCGAGGTGAAAGATTGGTCGTCTGTCTCAAATTTGTGTCCTATTCCTTCAGCGTCAGTTATCATTAAGCAGACTCGCTCCTCAGTTTCCTTTTGCTAGCACCAAACACATTCTCGCGGATGTGCCGCAACCACGTCCACCCCATTGTTATCGCGCAAAGGCTGAACAATTCAGTGTCTTCCCTTACAATCTGGAGTTGAATTTGAAATATTATATAACCGAAGAAGGCTCACCTACAATAGGGAGCAAATTTTTTGAGCCCGTCGAACGAGCCGAGATGATTCCACGTGTCAGCTGTTTCTCCTAGCCTGCCGGTGCAAAGCAGTGAAGCTTGCACTAAGCTAGAAAATTGGGCCAGTTGCTAGAAGTTGTGCATGATAGCGATAAGCAGCTCAGTTGATGCAGACGAAAAAAAAAAGACACAAGCAGGACATCTCGTGGTTGTGTCTTTCGTTAGTTGTCCGCAATTACTGACAACTTTGCACCAGCACGTGTTTATGCATGCCGGTGAAAAGCAGTGAAGCTTGAAGCGACAAGAGCATCCCTTAGCTCAGGGGTTCCCAAACTGGGTTCTGGGGAACACAGGGGTTCCACGAGCTGGTCCCCTCATGGGTTCCCAACACCCAAATTGCAACCCCCCTCTCCCCATGCCGCAGGCTGCCCGGCAGGACCATGCAAAGCACCTTCATCTCACTTTGTACTGACATTGCGATTGATATGGGGGGGATATATGGGAAGCAACACAAGCAGAATTGCCAACAATTGTGCCTCTGTTGCTTCTCAGTCGGCAACAGCGTTGCGGAATGGGCACCCCCATTCCATTCCAATTCCATTCCGGGGAATCAGAGTTTTCAATAATTCCATTCCTTTCGACTCCTAGGAATGGGGACACTGGGCCCATTCCCACTCCTGGAATGGCTGAATCGTTCCATTCCATTCCTCTAATTCCTAAACATTAAAAGTGTCACTTGGCATTACGCTGCAGGGTTGGGCAGAAATATTCAAAGATGTATTTGGAAGTACAAATACTGGGGTAGATAAAAATAGTTGCTAAGATACTGATTCTCAAGTCTCAAATATATCTGTGAATATGTATCGCGATACACATCGGAAATACATTTTAAAAAGAGGCAAAAAGTTTTTGGAAATACAAATACAAGAATACATTTTAGGGAAGGCAGAAATGTAAATTTGATAATGCAATACATTTTTCAAATTTCTTTGAGACGCCAACTGAGATGAGGCTTTAAAGGGGCCCTCCGGAGCGTTTTGCGATGGTCTGTGTATGGCGGTAACTCAATCTACAAGCCGTGAGGATCCTAAAAATCATAAAATTACGGACATGCGTGGCGGATTTCCCTATTAAAATTGCTATCAAAGTCCCTGGCACGCCCCCCTTTCTGAGATGACCCGGGAAAACGGGAGGGGCATCTCTTTACGCGTCAGCCAATAGCAAGCGAAGGATTCCGGCGTCACTGTGCGTCGCCAACGCGGCCGATCGCCGACCCGCGGAGGAATCTCTCCGGACTTTGTGCTCGGCAGTCGTCGTTTGTCGCACCGCACCGTCGCGCTGCTACTGCAATACGCAGTTGCATTCCACAGATGACAAGGAAAAGTTTGACTCGTTGACGTGGAAGGATCGCAAAGCTGGCTTCGGAGTCAGGATCCACGGGAAGAAGGAACACGTGTCCCGCAAACGCACGCCTGCAGACGCCCCGGGAGGCAGACGAGCCGACGCGCCGACGCATCACCCCCTAGAAACAAACTTGCGGGGAGAAAACAGTTCGCTGGTTTTGGAGCGATAATTGAAGACTACGTTTCCCGCACCACAATCAGTTTACGCTTTTCTCAAACTCTAATTTACAACGAGCTTAAAAAGTGTTGCAATAATAACGTTCGCATTCACCGCGAGATGCAGCATTTCCATTGGTCAAGTTTTAGCGATGGGCAGGGAATGGGGGATTGTCTTCCAAGAGAAAATAGTCCCGGTATATTTCTTCTGCCATCTGCTTAATAAACAATTTTGTAATCTAAAACTTTGTATACATATTAACCTACGCAATATAACAACATAAACAGACGATCGCAGAAAGCTCCGGAGGGCCCTTTTAAGTATGAAGTGGAAGTTTTTTTTTTTTTTCATGTTCAAGATGTTGCTTTGAACATGAAACTTTACCCACGCTGCTGTATGAAAGGACAATACATACTTTCGTTGTAGGTGACCTCGTTGAAGACCATGCAGGCAGTTGCATTTGAAATTTTCAAGAAAGCTGAAGCATGTGTCTAATCTTCTGTTACGGTTGAAAAATCGATACGGTGGCATCCCTATTGTGACGGTCCTTCCTGCCGACTCTCCGCCTCCCAACGCATGAACGGCAGTCTTCAAGTTTCGCCTAGCATCATTCAAACGGAGACCCCGCGGATTGCGACCTGAGATGGCCGGCACAGGTGCGAGCTCTCCGAGAAACGGCGCGCTCGAGACGAGTCGCAGGTGTACGAAGTCTGGGTTCGCACAGCGAGGCCACGTCTGGCCTCCTTCCTGGGTATCGGATCACCAGAGCAGCGGGTCACATTTACGTCGGCTGATGACGTACCCTTGAGCCGTGCAATATTACAGGTGCAGACGCATTCGGATATGTGCTGAACTTTACTAATGAAAAATGCCACTCGGCAATTCCTCGACCCAAGCTTCGTCAAGTGTGCGCGCCGCTCGGTTTCACGGTTGATCACTTCTGCACGCGCTTCCAGCCTTTACGAGAACAGCTTGGCTTGGCTTGACTTGGCCTGACCGCTTGGCGGCAAAAGAAAACTGACTTGGTGGCTCGCTAAATTGGATGCAATTTCGAGACTTGCAGATCCGAAACTTGAAGGTGCGTTGATTACGGGAGGGGAAAAAAAAGTCAAAATATTGATGCCCGTTGTGGGGAATACGATTATTATGCAAGTGCGTTTATTATGCGAGTAAATACGGTATGACAGGTCTCTGCAATCTACACGATACTTCTTCAGGATGACTCTGGATTTCACTCAAAACTGTGCAAGCATCCAATTGGACGAAATTACCGACCACTAGGGAACCGAAGGAACACCGTTCCCAGGATTCCTCGAGTGCCAGCCGGGGCGCTTGGGAATTTAGCGAATGGTCAATTGCCATTACTCGTAGACCCCCCGGCTTTGAGATAATTAGGGCGAGGTGAGCGACGACCCCAAGATCACCTTTCGAGCATCCTCTCCCGCTTGACGCTTGAGAAGCTCTCCAGCTGCAGGGAAGGCTGGGTGAGGAAGGCCACGGCCAAGGTCAGGTACTGCAGCCACAGCTGAGGCAGAAGACGGACCATCGCCACCATTATCACGAGGGACCATGCAGCCGCAGAGTGCCGGCTCGTGAAACAGATGACCACCTCAATCTTAAGCAGTATCCGCGACTTCAAGTAACGCACCAACGCAATAAGGGGTCCATTCGTTGACTGGTATAGCCACACCTTTGACCATTGGCCGAAAGAACTAACCGTGCTCGTCTTGTCATTATTCATGAATTTCCTCCCTTCTTTCTGTACCCATCAGTGTCACCCATTGTTACACATCTTCTAGCATTGTGACCAGAACTCGGAAGTAAATTCTCCGCTCGAAAAAAGTAATAAATGTTTAAACTTCCCCGCTTTCTCTAGCTATTAATGACAAATACTTTCTCCCAAATAATTGCACTCAAAACTAACCAAGCTAAATTCAGTTAATTTCACCAAGCAAACCTCAAAAGTGTTTTTTATGAATAAAAATTTGCAATCGGTAAAACTAACTTTTTTTTCTTTTTAGTTTACTAGTGCTTTTTACACTGTCTATATGTGTGTTCTTCATAATTAAGTGAACTGTTATTTCGCAACCCTCACTGTGAAATAACATTGACTAGACCTCCCCTCATGTAATGCACTTGATTCGAAGTGCCTTTGAGGCCCAATGAACTGAACTACTAGATATGTGCTTGTGAGCAGAATGAGATTAGGAGGGTGCACAAAACGGCACTTGCTACGAAATGCTGAGAGAGACATGTTACCGAAAGCATCATGAACGCTTAATGTGTCCACAAGTCGGTCAAAAAGAAAGCACTCACTTCCTGGTCAAAAGGTTCCAGAAAGTCGGACGTCAGCACCTGTGAGAATTCCTGCAGTGCACCCAGGGCCACGCTGCAGGAGAAAGGCAGCGGTCAAGGCTAAAACTCGCAAATCGTTGTCGATACACGAGGTCCTCGCTCCTGTCCCCGTGCCAAAGACAAATGTTGAAATGGCTTCAAAGGCTGCTCATAGAAAATTACCCTATTTCCTCTCCCACAGTCAGCACCTGCTCACGAAGGCGTCCCAAGCATCTGGTTTACCACAAAGCACGCACAAACGTGGACTCATAAACTTCCTTTATAGACAACTGCACGTTATGCCTGAAGAAATATGGTATAGTGATAAATAAGGCTAAGGGTTAAGAAACAATTTGTACCCAAAGAGTACTGCACCCCTTACCCTAGCCCTCAGCATCCTTGCAACAATACAGATAAAAAATTTACGCAGCCGATTCAAAATATGCGGAAGACTGGACACACTACTCCCGTAATATCCCCAAAAATAGCCCACCTAAAATCAAGGTCAAATAGGGTAAAAAAAATGAAGAGCCCTTCCACTTCACATGAAGATGGAGGACCAGTAAAGCTATTATCTTTACGTCTAGGACGATGCCTAGAGGACAACGTCTAGGACGACCTCAAGGACGACTTCTTGGACGACTTCGAGGACAACGCCTAAAGGACGACGTCTAGGATGACCTCAAAGACGACGTCTACGATGACCTCAAGGACGACTTCTAAGACGACCTCGAGGACGACGCCTAGAACGACCTCAGGGACGAATCTTAGGACGACCTCAAGGACGACGCCTAGAGAAATTCAGCCTTTCCACTCTGGTGAAAACCAGAGTAGAAAGGCTGGAAAGGTCGCCGCCATCTACGAGCAACGGCGGCAACCAGACAACCGTAAGGTTGTTTGCTTGATTGCTGCCGTTGCTCATACATGGCGATAGCTGTCTGGAGTTTTATGTCAACATTTGTTTATACAAGGACATGATACTGGGGAAACTAGCCTTCAATAGCTCTGCCATAAAATGAGGAGTGGGCTAACTTTCAGTGCACAACCAAAAAAGTTGAAAGAATGATGTTTTTAGATCATGTTTTCCTTTCAAACTTGTTATTATGGACAGGGGCAACGAAGCAAAGATGACTGTACTACCCAGTCAGCGATGTTTGCTTCTGTCCTACAACAGCTACCTAGCCGCATTTATGCTGAGGTCATCATTGATCCAAACACTACGATTAGTCAAACCTCGTTATAACGAACTAGCATTGCGAGCAGAAAGTTGTTGGCTATATGTGATATTCGTTATAAAAGTGCACACAAAAAACTGACGTGAACGTTCCTGCAATCGAGCCCGTGCAAGAACGTGCACAGCACTAAGATATAAAAACGAGCTATGGCGGACCATGAGATCCTTACTTGTCACTAAGCAGCATTGAAAACTATATTGTAACATGAGGATATTAGTTTGCGAAACGAGAAACGAGGTCAGCTGGATCCATTATTTCATTTATTTGAAGAAAGATGTGGTTTTGGGTCGGTGCCTGTTCACCTGGAGCCACCGCGCTGGAGTCAATTGCTGCTCGTGCTGAAATCATATCGGCCTGACAGACACGCCAGACTGATTGCTTTCGTTTGAAGAAGCGGACCGGACACTGGCGGATTTCGCGCCCTCACCAGCCGAATGCAGCTCCGGAGTTCCCGGGTGGGCCGATAGGGGCGCCGCGTCGCTGGCTTCTCTCTCGTACGTCCATCCAAAGAGCAGATTCGTAGGTCTACCCAGCCGACTCCGACCAAACTGTTATGCTCATATTCGCCGCTATGATTTTCAGCGCAGGCGACGTGTATATGATCTTCGCTACCGAAAGCAAAGCACTCTGGGCTCTTCCGACCAATCAGTAAGAGCGAAGGGAAACGACCGTTTTTGTCTTTTTTGTTTTGTTTGTGCTCGCTCGTCACTCCAAGCTTTCAAGCCGTTCCGCACGTGCTAAAATCGAAAGTGCGGATTTTACGGCAAGTACGGTGCGACGCTGCTGCGCGCTTATAATAATTAGAGATGTACGTCTCTAATTTGACAGAGATCCTGCCGAGTGTTTTGCGTGCCTCATGACGGCGTATTACGGAGTCTACAGCGCGGCGAAGTAACTCGGAGTGTTCATTCTTCCGCTTTCCAACAGACGACAGGTGAACCTCTATATCATTTTTTTTTGTCAGCGTTCGAAACTTGATTTTTCCATCAGAGCATCGAAATGGATTGCGTATGCAAATCGCCAGGACTTTGGAAGCCTGCCCGGCTTGCCGACGAGCAAGCTGCTCCAGCGTTGTTTGTGCAGCGAGCGCTTCGGCGCTACCGTGTTTGCAAGTTGTAGGAAGATTCGTTTGTGGAAAAACGCGTGCCCCACCGTTCTTGTTACGAATCCGTTGCTGCAAGGACTTGCTCCTCTGGGTGAGTTGCTGTCAGAGCAATCTTCAGTTAATTTGACAGCTTTGTCTTTATATGTTAGGATAGAGAACCGATAAAGCACCTACAGTCAGAGATGTAGTCACTCCAAAACACTAGTTGTTTTCTTTCTTTCTTAATTGCATTGCCTATTAGCGAGTTTGTTTATGGTTTATTTATCGTTTATTCTTATGCAGCTCACCTGCAAGCCTTTTCCTTTATTTCGGGGTTGATTTGTTTGTTTGAGTATTCAGAAGTTCAGTTAGTGGGAGTTGTTTATAGAGCCATTTAGATAATTCGATGATAAGTGCTTTTCTCTTAGTTTGTACGTTGAAGTAATTAATTTCGTTTTACATATTTGACAACTTTACTGTGTTTACTGCCTACTACAGTTCTTGGTTCCCCTTTGAGGGCGGTGGACTGCCAACGGAGTTTGTAGATACGGGTTTGAAATACCGCAACTCATTTGAATGGGGTTCAATAAAAAAATGCATTTCAATGAACGTGCTGTTTCTGTTTGATTGCACTGGTATTATCACGTGAAGCGCAGTTGTTGTGAAGTGTATCGCGCGCGGCTCGTCTGCTAGACCGGTGCCGTGCTGGCCGCTCACAGCGGCCGGCGCGGCACCAGTCTAGCAAACAAACCAGAAAAAAAAAAAAAAAAAAAAGAAACCGGGGGAGGGGGGGGGGGGGGGGAGGAGGAGGAGGGCGCACGCACGGCGCACGCCAACGGCAGTGGTGGCGCCATCTGGCAGTCTTTCGAGTCCAATTTTAATCTCCGACCAGACGTATGTTCGCCTTCCTGCCACCAGCGCCTCGTGGCGCTAGTTTTTCCTTACCATGGTGGAGGCTACAGCTGCACTTGGCTGCCCTTACATCCTTAAACCCTGAGGGCCTCTTCCACGTCCGCGTCGAGGCAAAGCCTAAGACTCTTTCGGTCATTCTTGACGGTATTGTTTGAATAGCAGTCTTAGATTTTCCTCCTTGCACCCAGGGTGGTAGATGTCAAGGTTGGTGGAAGCTTGAAGTTCCCAGTGATGTCTTTTTTTCTTCCGACCGCTGTCCACAGCCCTCAAAAACCTTCCCTTTTGTCTTGAGAGAGACGGCTTTCCACTTAGTCTCCATTTGCGGCTCCGCTACAAGTGGCGTGGTGGGCAGTTGGCTTTAGTCTGCACTGGTTCTTGATGCCTCGCACAGAGGCCAGCAGCGGCGCCCTCGCTGTTATCTGCTCGGTTCATAGATGGCGCTACCTCCCGAAACGCGCACTTTTGCACATGGGGCGACCTAAACTTTCAGAACTTTTCGTTCAGAAATTACTTTTTGTTTTTTTCTACTTTTTAATAACCTTCGTGGCATTTTGTGATGCAAGAAAAGCAGGAATTGCTTCACTATAACTAGGGTTCCGCTTTTCTGGTTCTTATTTTTTCGAAATTCGGCATACTTTTTTCGAAGTTTATTTTAAAATTCAATTTTCGTTTTTTTTTTTTTTCGGTGCATATTTATTTCTAAAAAAGTTCACCGTTTTTTTTCGATGAATATGAAAGAAACGCCATTGGACACTGGATCAGATGATCCTTGTAGTCTTGATGTTTGTGATCACTCAAATAACGACACATATACATACGTGGTCTTCGCTACAACTTCCGTCAGGACACACCTCAAAATTGCGGAATTCGCGAGCATAATCCTCAGCACTCTTCTTTTTCCTTCCCATTTTGACGACGTGACCGTCTGAGGTGATAACCGTACAAAACCATGCAAAAAGGCAAAAACGAAAAAAAAAGGCATTCATTGTATTTTTGCTTTTAACCACAGAGAAGTTTGGGAGAGGGTGTTCAGAAATGTACTGACGGCTTTCCTCGACGTCCTCTGAAGCGCATGAAACGAAAAAACCTTACACTAGCCCACATCCAAACTTTTTTTTAGGACCGGGGACTTGACACACAAAGCCCGATCACATAAAGGACCAGGGTGTAAGATAGACAGGTGGGGACACGGCCCATAGAAGCCTACCGCAGTGTTGTGACCGAATTGTGCACTCGTCTGCTTGCGGGTACCCTCGATTTGCAACAGATGGCGCTGCGGCGAGAGGAAAAAAAGTCGGAATCGGATTTGCATGGAACTCTATGGGAGAGTGCGCAAAATAAACCGAGAGCACGGCAGTCCTCCATTGAAAATCCACAAGAAACCATCTCCGTCAGTTTAGCCGGTCACCACCGGTCGCCCACCCGGAGTGAGAGTTCGCGGTGCTTCACATAGATGGCGCCACAGAAAAAGAGAAAACCGAGGGGGGACACAATTTGGTCGGTCCTTTGGCTCTCGTTTCCCCAGCTGTCTATCATCCACCCTGTAAAGGACACAGATGTCCCGCGAAGGCCAATCCAAGACCTCCTTTGTTGCATCTTGAACTTAAAAGGGGGCAATCACGAAGACGTCACACAATGTCGAACCTTGCAAAACCCTACCTCCCCCACCCTCCCCCACCCGCCTCGATGCGGCCCTAAAAAAATGACCTTTTTCGGCTAAATCCAAATTTTAGAAAACGGATTAGACATACTTTTATCGGTTTAAACAGAAAACACCGAACTTACAAACTGAAAAAACAGTGAGTGCACAGGCGAGCTAGTGGATGTTGATCATGATGTAGAAACCCGAGACTGTGGTAAAAACAGGGAAACGACACTGTTTCCCTGCTTCTACATCATGCTCTACAAACTGACCTTTTTCGGTTAAAACCGAATTTCCAAAAATAAATTTGGTGTACTTTTATCGGTTTTTATCGGTTTAAACCGAAAACTCCGAACCCTAGCTATAACCAAGAGCGCTTCAGATCTCACGGTTTTGGTTTCATTATATAACCAGAACTCCCATTCAAACAAAGCATGACCAAACAAACTTTGTAATTAGTTTGCTATATCCGATAATACGCTATATCAGTGTTCGATATAAAGAGGTTCAACATACTATGAGTGGGCTTTCTTTTTCTGTTTAAAAGAAAATAGCAAATAAAGGTGAAATTACGGGGCGGGTTATCTTTCGGGGGTGGGGCACCTCTGGGGACATTACAGTTTAGTAAAAAAACTAGGATCAGTTAGCATCTGGCGATGTCCTGTGGCATTTCTCAATCATAAATGAACTGCACCCGAGATGGAGGAGAACTTGAAAGTGAATTTGCACAATAACATACTCTTCAGTTCTGAGTCTCTACTGAACCGAGAGGCTGCAAGCATTCAGTTTGCATTAGTTTCTGCGAGTCTTGGCGTCACCAACACCCTCGGAGCTTCATGAAACAGAAAGCTAAGTGGCAGGTAAGGACTTTGGCTTAAAAAGAGTCACAAACACGTGCCAGTTTAAAAAAAGAGGCTGAAAACAGGCTTCGAATTCTAATTCCTTAAAACTTGCAGTCAAGCAAGTTATGAGCCAAAAACTGCGTTGTGCCGAAGCACTTGCCACAATTATAAGTAGGGCTCCGTGTTTTCGGAGTTTATTTTTCGTAAAATTCGGAGGGTGTTTTTCGGAGTTTATTTTTTGCCGAAGACTCGGAGTTTATCGAGTTCATATTTTTTTTTATTCCCAATTCTCCGAAATTCTGAGTTTAATTTCGCTGTGCTTCCTATTCAAAATAAATAAATAAATAATAACCGAATGTAAACGTATGCTAAATAAAAAAATGAAAGCCGTTTACAACTCCCTGTAACGCCGAATTAGAGCGCAGCTCTTGAGGAGGAGGAGGGAAGGGTACTGGGGGGAAGGTATATCCTTCCTCCCTCCTCCTCACCTCCTCATCCTGTCTGCTACTCCTCCCTCCGAGCGGCGTCGCCGTCGCCTCACGAGGGTCACGTGACCTCATGGGGGTCATGTGACATCACCGGCGTCACGTGACCTCACAGGGGTCACGTGACAATGACGATGACGATGCGGATGCCGTCATCAGTGATGACGTCATCAGGGACGTCACCCGTCCCATAATGCACTGCGCGGTTATGCCGACGGCGACACCGACGGAGCTCAAGCCGGAAACGGACGCCTAAGAGCTGCGCTCTAAAATAAAACTCGCTTGTATCAATTGAAATATCTTCAGTTGAATTTGGCGTTAGTGCCATTGCATTGGCAATACTAATTTATCCACGACAAAAGTCGCACACAAGTAACGCTTCAATAAACGCCGATGCCTTAAAATCAATAAACTCCCGGAGGCAGTCGCTAGGAAGCTCGTAGTCGTCCCATCCTATTCCATCCAGATATGTACAAGTTACTCAAAAAAAGTGATTTACCGAGTATTGACGTCAAAAGTAATTTGAGTAGAGTAGAAATTACTCAAATACAAAGTAATTGAATAAATTACTAATTACCATAAAAAAGTAGTGAATTACTTTTGAAGTTACTTTGAAGTTACTTTTATATGTTTTTTATGGTAAAAAGAAATTACAGGAGGTTTTGATCCGACAGCGAAATTGTGCTAGACAAATAGTAATTGGCTTCTTTGTTTTTTTTGTTTGTTTTTTTCACAGAAATGCTTTAATGTCTGGTTCTGCTTCTGCGTGCCTAATTATTTTGTACTTTCTTGTTTGTTTCGTCAATGATGTACTGCGAATGTGTCATTTGTGCTTTGAGGTTTAGCACTGTCTGAGCTTGATTCTTTAGACAGTGTTTGCTTGTTTACAGTGTTGCATAAAGTACATCTGGAAAGGACTTAACTAAAGTACAAAGTAAATGAGAGGTTATGTACTTCAAGTAAACTTTTAAGAACACCAGGTGCAATGTACCTGAAGTAATGTATATCAACACAATATATTTCACGGTAAAATACAAGCACTTTTAGCACAATCTTTCACGATTCTCTTTCATTCCCTATACTGTGTTTTTTTAACTGGTATGCATTGCTCCCGGGGTAATCGGAGGCGCATCAGTTTTTTACAGAAATGGCAGCAAATATTGTATAAGGTTAATTCGCCACAGAGTGGTTGTTTTACTCTCGCTGACGAGGTATGTGACACAATAAACCTAAAGGCACTTATTTCCATCGGTCTTACAGCCACCATTACTCCACTCAAAGAAATGAACAGATGACGTCTCGAAAGAGCGCGTTTTCACACGACGATACCGCCATTTGTTTTTCTTTTCAAATTCAAGGAATGTACATTGAAGTTGGGAGTTTTACTTTCCTCGAAAAATAGAAGTACATTCTCAGAAAATTCACTTCAAGTAAAGTGCAATTTTTCTAAACACTAGTACTTTCAGTAGCATGTACATAAAGTACTTCCCAACACTGCTTGATTATTATTTTTTATATAAAAACGGTGGGGGATTTACTACAAGTTTCTCGAACGATCTATGAATCTTTGAAGATCTCCATATTCTGAGTTTGGAAGGAAAGGCAACGCAAAAAGGTCATCTTTCCGTTGTCCTTTAGAACGCGATTCTTCGAGTACAGCACAAACTAGGGAGCACTAGATGAGTTGCAGAGCAGCTGCTGCATTTTGTTGCCTCCTTTGAGTGAGGATGCAGTGTGTGCAACTCCTGTAGTGGGCGAGAGTTCCTACGTTGGGGAGAAGCGGGGAGCAGCCCTTTCTTCAAATGGGTCCCGTCTCCTTGAGCTTCGGGACACAAAGAAATGCCAGTCTTCGGCGCTAATCCCGCAGTTACTCGGCCTCTCTTGCGTCATGTCTGTCCGCTCCCCGCGCCTCGTAGCAGTGTTGTTGCTGTGGGGAAGGGGACTTGTGAAAATTTTGGGGGAGTTTCGATCCCTACAAACAATTTTCTCCTCCCCCCTTTTCTACGCCACATGCTTCCTCCTCTTTGCAAATATCAGCCGATCTTTGAACATCTTATCTCCTCTGTGCAAGAATGTTTGTTGAGAAGCAAAACAACCACTAAAATTCTAAAGTAATTTGTAACTTGAGTGAACTACTAATTAACTAAATAAAATTGTAATTGAAAGTTGCTAAACTACTCAGAAAGGTAGTTAAACTACAGTAACTTGAGCAGAGTAGTTCAACTACGTACAAGTCTGAATCCATGAATCTAGCCCCCGGCAGCGCGAGGTGGAGTGGTTAAGGAGGTAATCGAGAGTTTGAACTGCCCCTCTTCCCAATTTTATACAATCCCTATGGTCCATAGGTTTCACTGTTACTAAAACATACCCTTTCCTTCCTCTAAATCACAAATCGCATGGCTCCAACTGGAAACCAAAAGGGTGGCTTTTGTCGCGACCCAAATGTGCAACGAACGACCGGTTGCCCTGAATCAACCTTGAAGGGACAAGCGGCAAGACCCCTTTGACAACGGTCTGAGATTTGAAAAATAGTTATGGTGGAATTTTCCCAGGACAATTGTCTCCGTGCTAATCAAACTGTAAAAAAAAATATATATATATTTTTACTTTTTTTTGGGGGGTGGGGGGGGGTGGCATTGACACATAAATATCCAGAGTTTACTGGTTAAATTCGAATTGACCAAAATTTTACCAGCTGGTGTTTTTCGGATTCATCGGAAAACACGGAGTGGAGCCCCAATTATAAGTGGGGTTCCACGTGTCCGGTACTTGCCATCGAACCCCGAAAAGTAACCTCCAAGCTTTTCGTCAAAATTGGGGTAAAGCAAAAAAAGCCCGAAGTGGAGCTCCAATAAAAGAAATCTTGGAGGAGAAAACCTTTATCTACAGTTTTATTTTGCGTTGATCTGGAATAGAACCTGTCCGCCAGGGTGCCTCTTCCTTCGGAGAAGTGAATCCCGTTTTCATCTCTAATCTGTCCCAAGGTTGCCCAGACATTATTCCCCCCGATGTTGGGGAATCCCAAGTCTGCATCCTATTCTCTTGGAAAAAAGCCCCGATAAACGACAATTTTTTGTCCGACATCGACTCTGAACATTGGGGAACACCCAATCTGAAGGGAAAACTCGGAAAACACGAAACTCTTGAGCCGTGGCAAATCGAAACATTAAATCTCTCGTGGCCTTGCCCACAAAAAGCAACGGCCACCCACGCGCCAGATTTTCTCTCGCTTTCTTAGAAATCCGCTCGTGTTCATGAAGCCGTCTCGGAAAGCCCGTTCACTTTCCTGGGTTTTTCTGGGCGAGAGAAGGGACCTTTCAATGCTTCGAGCACACCCCGGTGCCCGCAACGCATCTTCGACTGGCATATTTAGCGTCCCCCTTGCGCATTTAAAGTGGTCCCCGAGTGGTAAGAGGGGGCCGGCGTACCGCGCCGCAAATTGCCACAATCCCAGCAGTCAGTCGTGGAAGCCCCAACAAAATAAACGAGCAAACGCGAGCGTCATCGTCTTCACCACGTCCCAAATCCTGGCTGTCCAAGTTTCCGTGGATCGTCGAGCCGGGGAGCGACCCACGGCGAAACGAGCGTCTGCCGCGGCCACTCGCGCCTCCGCGTCGATGCCAGGATTGCAGCAGGCGACGGCACAGCGCCTTTGCAACGTTGCCTGGCGGACACTGAAAGACGGCGGACGAGGACGCGGTAGACGGAGCGGCCGCGGATCCCTCTCCGGGCACCGTAACCACGCGTGGCGTGCAATGCTCACTGGTTGGCCACGGTGCGCATGACCATCCAGTCCCGGGGGAAGATGTCCTGCAGCAGCACGCCGTGCAAGAGGGCCACGGTGTGCGCCAGGAAGCCCCGAAGGGAGCCCTCCTCCCGCCGCAGCCGGTCCCACAGGGCCAGGTAGTGGCTCTCCTCCATCAGCCGCAGCAGGCTCAGCAGGCAGGACATCAGCCAACCCTGGGGGGGGGCCCACAAAGTCAACTATGGACGTGTCGGACGGAGGAGTCCCAGAGGACTCATTTTAAAGGTGTGGCATTTACGGGGGCCACTAGGGCCGGCTCTTGTCACTTTCGTGGAGCGTGCGGCGCAAAGTGCGCTGTGCCCGCTTGCATGATGTTCGTGCAATTTGCAAATGCTCTCGAAGTGGGCACTTTCCTCGGCATGCGTAGAGTAACAGCGGAGCAGACTAGACATTAGGCATGCACGAATACTGAATTTTGAGTTGGATTCGAATAGTAGCTTTGGCCATAAATTTTCAAATCCAATGTCAAATAGTTTCTCCAGCCTTTCGCTGCTGCACCATGCTTGACCCTTTGCGGCCATGTGTCGAGCCAGGCCCGACATCGGAGAAACGCGCTTCCGGTTAGGAGTCGGGCGTCGCCCGACACGCATTCCCGCATCCTTTTCACCCCTAAACACTTTGGACGAGCCTAGCTTGTCCATCTCGAGCCGTCCCCAAACCGTTTGGAACAAGTGCAGCTCGTCTGTTCTGCATCGTTCGTCCCTTTGCCGTTTTAGACAACCCAGGCTCGTTCATAAACCAGTTTGAGATGCTGCCGACAGACAGGGCAGCGCAGGAACGGCAATTTTGCGTCTGTTTTGTTTGTGTTTTGTCTTTTTCTTCTTTCGAAGACAAGATGGAAAAATGGCATTCGGTGGTGGTGACACATTTGGCCCGGGCCCATCAAAAGGGAAAATAAATGCTTCTTTTGGGGAAGACTTTGATAGCGACATGGATACTGACGTCTACTTGTGTTCTTCAAGTGAAGAAGACAGTGATTACGACGTCGAACTCAGCAGCTCCTCGGACGAAGCAGAAGACGACAACGATCTAGATCGCGCTATTGCCGATGCTCGGTAGTGGTCGAAAATTGACATGAACAGTGTTCCACCAGCACCCCCTCGGTTCTTTTTTCTCGGCAGCCCGGGTAAGACATTTTCGGTCCAATCAACCACTGAGTACTTTGAAGCTTCTCTGAACAACGGCTTGGTCTTGCTGATAGTTGGGAAAACCAACCGATACGCTGAGCAAAAACTCCACACCAGTCAACTCAGCGACCACTGTCGCCTCAAGAAATGGGTACCAACAACAATGGAGCATACTCTTGTTGCTCCTGCTGTTGCAAGAGATTGTGCAAAAACCGGAGCAAGAGTGGTACTGGTCGAAGAAAAAGCTTCTGCACACTTTGGAGTGTTGAGAAGAAGCTGAGGAAGAAGACAAGGTTTGGGTGCAGCAAGTGCGAGAAGGCTCTATGTGCAATTCCGTGTTTCGAGCTGTATCACATGCTCGCAAAGTTGCCTTAGGGGCCCAGACAACCTTCCTTTCCATTCCGGGTTTTCTCTTTTCTTTTTTTTTTTAGTACGAGTTAGTTGAACTTGTCCCAAAAACAAAGCAATTACAATAAAATGTTTCTGTTTGCTCTGTCGTTCAATCATAATAAGGCTTTATGCGTGGAGTAACTGAATTCAGGGCCGTACCCAGAAAAAAATTTCGGGGGGGGGGGTTTTAGGGGACAACGGTGGCCATTTTGAAAGTGTCTATTGTCTTATTTTCGCCTATGAATCATGTGCATTGGTGGCATATAATGGAGAGTTACAGCAAACCGGAGAACCGGTCCCGGTTTGGTACCCGGTAGCCGACCGGCGCCACTGCACGTGCGCAGAGGTGGAGATTAAAATCGGCTGGCTGCCAGAGCACCGACCAGGGCCGTACCCAGAAAAAAATTTCGGGGGGGGTCAGAACCCCCTAACCCCCCCCCTGGTTACGGCCCTGACTGAAATCATAAGATAAGAAGATAAAAAAAAGAAGTAGTTTAGGGTTAAAAATTGCCAAAAATGAAAAACGGTTCAGGGGTCAAACATGCTCCTTTGCTCTTTTTGCTGGATTGGTGGCGCCATCTCTTGGAAAACACTTCAATCACAGCACTCTTGAAAGGGTTCATGAGTTTCTTCTCGTAGAGGGCAGGAATAGTCATAAAGAAAAAAAAAGACATGTTCTACGTCGTATGGTGTTTTTGCGCAACGGAGGGGCACGCAAATTTTAACTTCGCTGGCACGATGGTCATAGCCACGTTCCAGCCACGCTCGTTTCATGTAACTCTCTGCGTGATGTAATTCAAAGTGACGACGATTTCAGTGAAAAGGACGACTATATCCCTCCATCAGATGATGGAGAGATATGGTCACAGAGGTCGCCTCTCCATCAGATGATGGAGAGGCGACCTCTGTGACTTGAGTGAAAGTAGTGATGAATATGATACGACTGCGCAAGACAGCGGCCGTGGAGCCGCTCCGCCACAAACATCGTTCCGGAGTTTGTACACAAACAATCTCCCGGACTTTCCTGTCCTTACATTCAGTGTGAGACGTTACCTTTGTACGCCGAAATAATTTTCCTTTTCTGGGGCCCATGCATACAAAATAGTTCCTGACCGGAATGACCATTAAGTTGGTCAAAGTATCTGACCGCAAAGGGTTAAAACAAAAAGCCAGCCGAACTTGTGAAGTTCACACAGAAAGAATAAAAACAATGAAAATAGACAAGGGACAGACACTCACAGTTCTTTCAGCTTTTCAGGAAGTTAAATTTCTTCCGTTTCTTTCTTCATCTTCCTTTTCAAGAAGTTAAATTCAGTTATCCTTATTTTTATCTTTTTCTAGTATTTTCGTCTTCCCTTAATTTTCTCTGTGACCAAAGTGGTTCTTTGCAGTGTGATGGGCATCATATAAATGTTGTTGCTCGTTGAAAGAGCTGTGAGAGTCTGTCCCTCATCTATTTTTAGTGTTTTTATTCTTTCTGTGTGAACTGTAGTCTATCCAACGCACTCTGCTACATGCACCAAACTCATGAAGGTTGTTCCCAAGCTTCCCCTTGTCTGTTTCTAAGCCATGTCATTTTAATGACACATTTGATATAAAGCTATGCCTATAGTGATCTCCAGCTATACCTAATTCAGGGGATTAATATATCTTCTTGCTATATAATTCTTTCTTCAATCTTGAATTAGAAAAAAAAAAGAATCACTAATGAACATAAGTTCTCAGGCTCTGCCTAGCATACCGTGTTTGCATGATTCTAACGCATACTTTTTTTCACCCAAATCAGTGCCCAAAACTAAATGCGCTTTACAATCGAAACCAAAAACCCAAACTCAAAAGAAAAATGCAATACTCGGTATAAGGTCGCAGCCTGTCTGGCTGAACCCACACACAAGCGCCAACTCAAAGTCTGGGCAGTGCTTAAACTCGGTGAGAGCCGTAGAAATCTGCAGCCTCTTTCCTGCGGTAGCCCGCTTCTCTGGTGACTACTTGGTCTTGTGTCGGACCAAGACGCTACAGCTGTTCGTCCCTCTTCGGCAGCTGAGTCCTGAGCTGGTGCCCATCAGCAGTTGCGCTGGGATGGAGCCTGCGACGCTCGGTGTGTCTCTGTAGCTTAGAAGCGCCAAGTAGGTGTCCTTGGCCTTGCGGAAGAAGTTCTCGATGGTGCAAACCATTAGTTCCACTTCCCATCTTGATTGCAGAAAGTTCGGACTGCTGGTGATGTGCGTGAAGCCGCAAGACTTCGGAAATGCAGAGAACACCCTCGACGAAAAGGGAGAACCGTTATCAGACCAAACTGTTTCGAGGATGCCGCGACGAGCAAGCATGCTCTTCAGAACGACAATGACATTCCCTGCAGTGGTGCTTCTCACCGTCACAGCTTCCGGGTAGCGGGAGTAGTAGTCGTTGAGAAGAACAAATGTCTGACCATCAGAAGAGCTCGACCCCAACGGCTTCCCATGGACGACTTGGGAAACTTGAGCCCAGAAGAGGTTCACCTGGGTTGACTCGGGCATGATGCACACTGCTTAGAACTTGCAACGAGGGAAGTGTTGTTGGAATTGATCTGGGGCAACCAGATCGACTCAGAGGCTCAAGACTTGCAGCGGTTGACCCCTTGATAACCTCGTGAACCAGAGCCAGTATCGCAGGACTAAGTGCAGCCAGGATCACGATGCAAGTTCCCTCTAAGAGAAGGCCATCGCAGACTAAAGTTCTGTTAACACAGATGCATACTGTGCCATGTGCAAAGGTAGCTTGGCCTTGGAGGGCCAACCACATTGGAAAAAGGAAATGAGCATACTACACTTGCCGTCTGACACTTGAGCCGTCTTGATGTCTTGCAGAAGAACCGGCATCACCTCGGAGACACCCTACATGACTTCGGTCGCAAGGGGACTGAGGGAGTCTAGTGCTGCCGGCGTAACCAAGGCCTTAAATGGGATTCAAAACAGAGTATCAGCCGTAGCCAGGACATGCTGCATCTTCTTCAGCCGTAGCCAGCTTCAAACGTAATGTTGAATTCGCGACAGCAAGACATCAAGGTCCACCTTGCCAAAAAGGGAGACCAAGGGCACGTGGTCCGTCTCGACCTCGAACAACATCTTATGCACCTACTTGTCAAACCTCTGTACCACCCATGTGAATGCCGGAGCCTCCTTGACTGTTTGGCTGTAATGCTGCTCTGTTGCCGTCAGCTATCTAGAAGCAAAGGCAACAGGTCATCGATCCCCTGTAGGCTGATCTTGGAGCAGCATTGCGCCCAGTTTGAAGGAACTTGCATTGGCTGAGACCACGGTCGGGAAAGATGGGTGGTACTTTGCCATGCAGCGGTTTAATGTGAGCATCTTTTTGAGTGCGTCGAAGGTGGTATCTAATTTGTGCGTCCAGGTCCACTCCACGTTCTTGCTGATAAGTGCCCCAATTGGTGCTGTCAGTTGGGCCACGTGTGGAATAAAGTGGGCCAGGCGGTTTACCACGCCCAGAAGCACCCCACGACGTCCATCAATGGGTCCATGCTCTTCACTGCTGACAGCTTGCCCGAATCAAGCCGTATTTTGTCTGCTGAAATGTCTAGGCAGGACATCAGTGAAAGGACGAAACAGCATTTGTCAAGGGTAACGCCTGCCTTGGACAGCCGCGTTAGTACCAACTGCAGATGTTGGTCGTGCTTGCTCTTCGTTTTGCCAAACACGAGGATGTCATCGATCATGTTGACCGTGACCTCGAGGCCTTCCAAGATCCAAGCCATCTGTCGCTGAAGAATTTGGGAGCAGACGTGATGCCAAACAAGACGCAGCAGACGCAATAACGCCCAAATGGCGTTATAAATGTTGTAAGCTCCCGCAAGCCTTCTGACAGCTTGACCTGGTGAAAGCTGCGTGTAGTATCCAGCTCGGGAAAGGCTGTCACATTGCCCAGGAGGTGCGAGACCTAATCAATAGTGGGAAGTATGTGCAGCTCTCTCAGGATGACCCGATTCAGCTTGGTGAGGTCGACGCAAAGCTGATAGCCCCCTGACGACTTCAGAATAACAACCAGTCCAGCACACCAGGCAATGATCCGCCATCTCGCTGAGCTCCATTCGTACTGCCTCTCGCAGAGGGATAGGTATTTGGTGTGGAATGCAGTCGAATCTTGTACTGCTCCTCAAGCGTGCTGAGAGCTTGGAAGAGCCCTTGTGGTGCCAGTACTCCAAGAACTTGACACCCAATGCTTGGATGGCTAGGAATCCCCGCAATGGCACTGGGAGGAACTTGACGACGTACACATGCTGGCAACAAGTCCTGCATCGCCAAAGAAGGGTAGCCATGAATGAACCCAAGAATTGTAGTGCCTGGTCTTCTGGTACGGTCAGCAGGTTGTCAACTGTGTCCAAGCAAAAGGGCAAGTTTGGAAATGCTCCTGAGACTGCGGAAACTTTGGCGCCAGAGTCTACCTTGAATATCGCTATATAGTTGTCGACCGTACTCTCAAAGCACTTGCCCTTCCCGGGGTCGAGAATTGTATGAAGCTGTAGGGTCATCAACTTGCTCTGCTACCGCCTGCGAGCGTGAGACATCCACAAAGTGGCCTTTCTTCTTGCAGAAGTTGCACAGCGACTGCCTTGCCGGGCAATCCAAACGTGCATGACCGGCTCAGCCGCAGCAGTGGCAACAATCGGTGTCGCTGCCGTACCGAGAGGAACTGGCTAACGCATTGTCCGTTGTGATGCCTTGTGCTGGCGAGGTGCGGACCAGCGAGACTTTGCTGTGTCAATGCTAACGACATCCGAAGCCTGTTCCTCTCTTTTTCCGCGTCTTCGGCTTGCCTGGCCTGCGTCCATGCTTAATTAGGGCTTCGCATTGCAGCAAAGCTGGTTGAACAGGCGTGCATCGCAAAGACCAATTACGAATCTATATCATGGACAAAGCATTCCTCTGCTGCAGACAAGGGGTAGCTGTAGTGCTTCACCAGATTACAGCACTCTGAAGAGTAGGCGTCCACGCTCTCGTTGGACTGCTGGACATGCCTGTGAAAATGCAACGACTCGTACAGCTCGTTGGCTGGGTGCACAAAGCGCACCGTGAAGCAAGCGACAACTGCATCATACGATGCGAGGGACGCCAAGTTGAGCGAGAACATGTCAAGGAACCGTCAAGCTTCGGGTTCCAAGCGGTAGAGCAGAGAGCATACTTGAACTTCTGGCGAAGCTTGCAAAAGTCCGGACATGACGGCGTAGTCGTCATAGCGGCTTTGCGATGTGGCACTGTTTCCGTTTCATGATGGGCCAACTTCCAGCGTTCAAAAATCAAATGGGTCCAACTGGCAGACTGATGCCGACCCACGGCAACGGCGACTTGGCTTTTTACAGCGGAGCTGTTAAGGGCTAGGTTCCCCAGGATCGTGTCCGTGTATTTCGACACAAACCTGCCTGGACAGCTACCGCCATCTATAAGCGACGGCTGCAAGCACACAACCAGTCTGGTTACCGCCGTCACTCACAGATGGCGGCAACCTTACCAGCTATCATGGAAGAATGTATAGTTGGACACCGTTGGTGAAAATTCATCGTAGGAAACAGCACGAAAAACAGACGACGACGAAGAAGAAGCACACGTAACGAGCGCAGCGCTCGTCATGTGTGTTTCTTCGTCTTCGTCTGTTTTGCGCGCTGTTTCCTACGCTCTCATCAGTTTCGGTTTGAACTCAGCCCAAGCGAAAATTTCTAACTGGGACCAGTTGGCACCTCAACTGGTTTCAACTGGGACTAACTGGTACCAACTGGGAATGAATTGGGACCAATAGGAGTCCAACTGGGACCAGCTGAGGGGTCAACTGGTTTGAACCATTCCCAGTTGGGAGTCAACTGGTTTGAACCATTCCCAGTTGGGAGTCAACTGGTTTGACTCCCAGTTGGGAATGGAGTGCACTGTAACCAGTTAGGAAAGTAACTGGTTGGAGCGATTCCCAGTCGAACTTCAAATGCCTTTCCCGTTCCCAGTTCACACGGGGCTACAATTTTCACAAGTTGGTGGTGTATTGACCTTTGCTAATAAAGAAAACTAAGAACACTTGCATTTTTAGATTTATACAAATAGAGAAATTTTTAATTACTGGGTACATTTATATATTTATAAAAATAATATAAAAATTTTAATTAGCTAAATAATTTTTTTAATTGGAAGATATAATTAGTGACAAAATGTGCTCACCTAAATGAACATTTAGTGCATCATTTAAATATATTAAAACATTTATTTAAACACCTACAGTATTTTTTTTATTCTTTTTTCTTTTAATAAATAAATTTATCTTTTGGCCAATCAGAGCTCGCCGGCCGCTGTGGCACGCGGGTGCGGATTAGTGGTACACGCTGTCGACAGATGGTGCTGCCTATGCCGACGCCAGAGTCGGACGGACGCAGTAGAGAAGGGTTGGAAGGGTCGCCATCGCCCAAGTTGGCGTCGTTATGAAAATGTCAAAACTACAGCTGTGCTTCTTTGGACCTAACTGTACACACACCATGGTGGCGGCGGTGAACTTCGAGGATGGAAAGGTACAGTTCAGCGATCGGAGGGCACCCAGGAGAGAGTGGACGGAAGAAAACGCCGCGGAGAGCACAATGGCGAAAATGGCGGGAGATCTACCTCCAAAATGTTCGACTGTTGTGACAGATTGCAAGGTGGGAGCGCTACCGCATCCTATCAGGACTTCACCTGCGCAACGCGGGATCACAGGTGAGCACCTTTCTTCATGCGATGGGGAGAGAAGCTGAGGACGTCTTCACTAACAGACGCCAGCGGCCGATCTTCCTTCATCTGACGAATACTACCTCTGAAAAAGTGATTCAACCGTCGCAAGGAAGTGGCTAAACCCGGAGCGTGTACGTCACCGAACCTATTATTTAGTTTCCTTCTCCAAGTTTTTGACAATAAAGTCTTGTCAACCTTCCATTTTGTGCCGTGTCTCATTGTTGCTGGAGTTGGTACCAGCGGTAACTGGGACCAAGTTTAACTGGGACCAGTTGTAGCTGGGACCAATTCCAGCTGGGACCAACTCAAACTGGTCCCAGTTGGACAACTCCAACTGGGACCAGTTGCGACTGGGAATTGTTCCATAAACCAATTGCAACTGGGATCGATTGGTCCCAGCTGAAAATTTTCGCCTGGGAGGATCGGTCGGCCTCGCGCCCTTTCGGGGAAAGGAGACAATCTGCGGAAGGAGCGGAGACGTACACAGCAGCGCGAATGGGTCCGCAACCGCCGCAAAGCCGCTGTCGCCTCGACTTCCCCTGCGTCCAGCGCTTCAGATTCCCTTGCCAAAGAAGAGCACATAGCTCGCCTGGAAAGCCGCCACCAAGAACAGTCCCAGCGATGTAAAAGGCGCCGGCGGACCAACGCCACAGATGACGATCGTGCCACGGAGGCAAAACGCAAGCGCGAGGCCCGGCGACGACAGCACTTCCCGCCGGCTGAACAGTTCCCGGGTGCGACGGAGAGGTTCTGGAGGGAGTTCGTGGAGAACACGTTTGTCGTCATATGCGCCGTGTGCGACCGACTCTGGTTCGCCGGAGACGTATCCACGATTGGCGGCGCGTCGGACGAGAAGCAGGAAACAGGCGCATGCGCGTTGCGGCAGTGTCTCGAGTACAGCTTTGCTGGACTTGCGTCTTCACGAGAGTGGAAAGGCTGAACGTTTTTTAGTCATTCTTGACAGCAGGGACTTGACAGCAGGGACAGCAGGGATGTCAGAAGTGCTGTTTAGCACTTCTGACATCATGTTGAGCACATGGTGCCGAGCCATGCCATACTTCTCGGGCCACGCGGGCAGAAAAGAGACATGTCAGCTCGTTGAGCGCGGAAGACCAAAGAAGTAGACTAAATAAACGAATTTGCTGAGTTTGAGACGTCGTCTATTTTCTGTCTCTTCTACGTTTTGATGTTTCTTCTCTGCCCCAGTCTCAGGTTAATTCACCATGGTCAATATCCACCAGCTCATCTGCACCCTTACCATACTTCATCTGACCAAAGAGACTTTACTCAAAAGAAACATGGCGTTATGTCCCCATCTGACATGTCAGCACAGTGTTTGTAGCCTAACCTAAGAAACGTCCGAATCCAACATAAGCTTGATCGTGCCGATGAAAACCGGGGAGTACAAAATGTGCAGAGAAAGGGCAGACGCAGAAGATCCCTTTGGGGGACTGACCATGACCGGGGAGTCGGCGTCCAGCTCGCAGAGGGTGTTGACCAGGGGCTCGAGCAGGGCCAGCACGGGCAGGTCCTGACCAGGGCCGCCCCTGTGCAGGGCCGACAGCAGGTCCCCCAGCACCTCGGTGCACAGCCGCAGCTCCAGCCCCAGGCACAGCTGCTCCCGCAGGGGCCCCACAAAGGCCTCCAGCAGCTCCCGGCGGGTCTCCCCCACTGCGCGCCCCGTCAAGGCTCTCTCTCTCTCGGATCCCACCGCCGCCAGACAAGTTACGCTAGAAGTACTCCACGCCCCCATCTTGTTCAGGGTGCCGCCATTTTGGTGCTCAATTAGTGCAATACGGTGGGAAACTGAGGAAGAGGCCGGGGGAGACAGAGGGGCATGTCGGAACCCCGAGCTCTGGTTGGAATGCTCAGTGTGTAGATACAAAGTGCCTTTGTCTCACTTCTTGAGCACGTGTGAACACAGCCGTCCTGACTTCGACCCTCGCGTTTGAACGCGTTCGAAGAGTGCTGCGCTGGTAGGAACACTGGGAAATATATGCATGTTATATAGAAAGACGAGGCAGACTAAGTCACTACCTTTCAAACACGGCAGCCTTCCTGAATGGGCAGACCCGAGGGTTGAGCGAAAAAATAAAATATATCCACAAAATGAGCACGTTTTTTACAGAACAAATTTACCAAAAATGTAGTAACATTTAATGGGCTCCAGCAATATAGTTATCTGAAATTTTATTTTTGTCGTGCGCCAAGCACGCAGCAGCAAGCGCATGACCGACAACGGTGCTGATCGAGTAGAAATCCCGGGCGAGCGGGAAACGGTGGAAGCATAAAGGCTGGTTGACACGCGAGTTTGACAGTGACCGAGCACATTGCGGCAGCTTGCAAGTGCTTGCGACGAGAGAACAAAGTCCGTCAGGCAACCCTGGAACACTTTCGATGCTCATAACTTTTTACGTGTCTATCTTTCCCCATGCTCGAAATTATTCGGGCAATGCTACGAATGACCGTTTCTCACAGAGCGTGCGTAGATTTGATCTTGCAAATTTGCAAATATCGTAAACTAAAAAATGACCGCACCTCCACGTGGTGAATGATGTTGATTGGGGCGAAGCTCTGGTGGCGCTTGTCTGCGTAGACGGTGAGCCGCAGCATGCCGAGCCTTTCGTTCGTTTTCATCCATGTCAGAAAGAGAATGGGTGGTATGGAACGTGGTTATATACGCATTTGAGCATTTGACCGCAGCACCCTCTCGTCTATAAAGATTGAGCCAATGCATGCAAAGCTTTAACGCAATTATATACGCATTTGACCGCAGCGCCCTCTCCTGTATAGACGTTGAGCGGCTACATGCAACGTTTCATCCATGACAGAAACCCCAGCTCTCGAGTTACCACCACTCGTCCCGCAGTCGTGGCCGAGTGGTTAAGGCGATGGACTAGAAATATATTGGGGTCTCCCCACACAGGTTCAAATCCTGTCAACTGCGCAAACATTTTTTTTTTTTTTTTATCATTTTTTTTTTTTTCTTTACACGAGCACGTGAGCACGTGAGCTCACGAGTACGATCACGATCATGATCACGAGCACGAGCACGGGTAAGATCGATGTGAGTATGGATGCTGGACGGACAAGGCTAGACCCTAAGGAGCTTCGCCCCTAAAACCTTTGGTGTAGTTATAGGTAGAACAGAAGTGTTCCAGGGCTGCCCAATAAATGGCATCAACGTGCCAGCGTCTTTTCTTGCGGTAAGCCCAGATAAGATCAGTCTGGTCAAGCTCTCTTAGTTTACCTTTCCTCTCTATAAACATATTCTACTACTACCGACTGTCGTAAGCCGTCGTGAGCGAGCACAACACGCTCGATCGAACTCAAACAAAAATGTGTGAACCAGCCTTAAAAGCCGACAAGCAGTCAGACAGGAAGAAACTCTTCCTTCATTCCTGCTTTCCATTTGAGAAAGACCCTCCTTCCTGCAGGGACCTGTGGGTAAAAAAGGAAACTGGGAACTGGTTTTCTTTCAGGCAGAAGACGATTCTGTAGATGGGCATCGAGGAGTTAAGCACAAGGCGGCAACGAAGCGTGAGAGAGTAACTCTTCCTTCGCGACTCTTCCCCTCTCCCCGGGCAACGCCATAGAAAGTGAGCGAGCATCGTGGCTAGAAAGCCTACATTCACAAGAGGGCGCAACCCAAACCAAGGAAAGCATTTGCAATTTATTGGCGGACTGCTCCCCCGCAAAATGGTCGCGAGGCAAAGAGGAAAATGGGTCATGGTTTAAGATGAGCCAGCTGGTTCATTGCTTTCAATGAGCCAGCTGAACAAAGATTACACCCAAGAAATATCCATCACGCTGCTGGTGTGAATGGTGTGTTTTGGGTGTAATCTTTGTTGAGCAGTGTCAATGGTGTTTTTTGGGTGTAATCTTTGTTCAGACGGCCCATCGAAAGCAAAACGGGTGAAGAGACTCTTCTCCGTGCAGCTCGTACTGCAAGCGCGGCCCGCAAACTGCACAACCCTGCTCGAATGGTTGCCATCCGGGTGTACTGACCGGCACCAGCGAAGACGGGGCCCTTGGCGGTGCGCTGGATGCAGCGCAGCCGGGCCTGCGCCAGGTCCAGGTGCGGCCGGGGGGCCAGCCAGGACAGGCTGAGGCGCACCAGGCGAGCCACCCCCTGCAGGGGCAGCACCTGCACCAGCTGCTCGTACATGCCGCTCAGGCTGTGCACCAGCGACACCTGGGACGGGGGCCCACCGGTCGGTCAGGGACTCTCGAGGCTTTACTTTGGGGACACGGCGGTTGCACCGTCTCGCTTAAGCGGGAGAAGGCTGCTCCGAGCTAACCATCCTGGGCAGCACACAAACCTCAAAATCGGAGCAAAATGAGACGCGTTAAAAAGGGGGGTTTGGGAATACAAATATCATTAAAGGCTGTTCTATGAGCTCAAACAAATAATAGTAATTAGCTAGTGCAGCCTTAAACCTATTAAAAATTTCAGATTGTTGTTATCGAAGAGAGAAAGTAGCTCCAATCACGAAAGGTTTTGGCTATGAAAGAACTGTACACAGAGGTAGTGTCACGTGCGGGTATGCCGAATTAGCAGTTATGGCGGAGGTGCGCATCTAACCACCGTGCACAATGGAACCCACCCGTTTCAAAAGATCAATTACCGCATTTTTTAGGGGCGAAGCTGCTTAGGGTCTAGCCTTGTCCATCCGGCATCCATGCTCACATCGATCTTGCTTGTGCTCGTGAGCTCACGTGCTCGTGTAGGGGAAAAAAAAAAATTATGAGAAAAAAAAAAGTGAAAGCCGCTTACAACTCCCTGTAACGCCGAATTGGAGCGCAGCTCTTGAGGAGGAGGGAAGGGCGCTGGGGGGGGGGGGGTTAGACTAACCAGGGGGGGTCACGTGACCTTGGGGGGTCACGTGACCCCCAATGCCGATGATGTCATCACTGACGTCACTGATGACGTCATTAGTGACGTCACTGATGACTTCACCAGTGATGATGACGATGACGATGCGAATGTCGGTGACGTCATCAGTGACGTCGCTGACGACGTCATCAGTGATGATGACGATGACGATGCGGATGTCGGTAACGTCACCGGCATCCACATCGTCATCGTCATCATCACTGATGACGTCACCGGCATCCACATCGTCATCGTCATCATCACTGATGACGTCACCGGCATCCACATCGTCATCGTCATCATCACTGATGACGTCACCGGCATCCGCATCGTCATCGTCATCATCACTGATGACGTCACCGGCATCCACATCGTCATCGTCATCATCACTGATGACGTCACCGGCATCCACATCGTCATCGTCACTGATGACGTCACCATCATTGATGTCATCATCACTGATGACGTCATCGGGGGCTCACGCGACATCGGCGGGGGTCACGTGACCTCGGGGGGTCACGTGACCTCGAGGAGGGGGTCACGTGACCTCAGGGGAGTCAAGTGACCTCGAGGAGGGGGTCACGTGACCTCAGGGGAGTCACGTGACTTCGGGGGGTCACGTGACCTCGGGGGGGTCACGTGCCTCCCCACGAAGTCACGTGACCCCGGTGGGGGCTCGCGCGGTGCATTATGGGATATTTCCCATGATGCACCGCGCGGTTACGCCGACGCCGACGGCGACGGCAACAACGACGGCGACGGCGACGCCGACGCCGCTCAAGCCAGAAACGGGCCCCTAAGAGCTGCGCTCTAAAATGTTTGCGCAGTCGACGGGATTTGAACGTGTGTGGGGAGACTCCAATGGATTTTTATTCCATCGCCTTAACCACTCGGCCACGACTGCGGGACGAGTAGGGGGCTCTGAGATGTGGTAGTAACCCAAGAGCTGGGGATGTCATGGATGAAACGTTGCATGTAGCCGCTCAACGTCTATACAGGAGAGGGTGCTGCGGTCAAATGCGTATATAATCACGTTAAACTTTGCATGCATTGGCTCAACGTTTATAGACGAGAGGGCGCTGCGGTCAACTGCGTATATAATCACGTTCCATACCCCACATTCTCTTTCTGACGTGGATGAAAACGAAATAAAGGCTCGGCATGGTGCGGCTCAGCGTCTACGCAGACCAGCACCACCAGAGCTGCGCCCCAATCAACATCATTCACCATGTGGAGATGCGGTCATTTTTAGACTCTAACTCACTCTGTGTGTGTAGCACTTCTCTGCACTTAGATACGGTGCACTGCGAAGGACGGCACATGGAGTCATTGCAGCCTCTGCCGTCAAACTTTTAACCGTCCCAGAAATTTTAAAATGGTAAACCGTTTTAGTATATAGTAAAGGATTCATAGCCAGATGAAAGGGGGGATACAATGAAGTATGAAAGCCCAGAGAAACAGCTGGCTTAATTCCCCCTCCCGGGGCAGGACTAAGCCGCAGATGAGAGGCCGGAGTGGTCCGGCACCTATCCTCCGTGTTTCGTACCATGATGGGGAAAGTTGGCCACCTTGCTGGCCTCTCGCACCTCTCCGTGCATCTCCCGTCTCGGGAAGACCCACAAACGATCCCCTCGTTGGAGCCACAGTGAATAAGCATACAGTGGTCCCACTCAAGGCCCCTTCCGGTAATTGGGCGTTGGGCAGTGCCACTCACCACATATCGCAAACACTTTTTATGTTTCTGATTTCTTGTCACAGAATGCCGTGTAAAAGTAATCGTTATAAAACAAAGGAATTACACCAGTAATGCTAATTTTTAAAAATAGGAGAGACCCCATTTCAGGAAGGAATAAAAGAATGCTTGACCGAAAACCGTTACCCAGGGCTACGACCAATGAGAGGAGCCGAGGCGCCGGGCGACGGGCTGTGGAGATTGCGGAGCACACTCTCGTTTTTGGCGTTTAAATTCGAAGCGTTCGAAGCTCATAATAAAGCACATGCTGAGAAGCTGGTAAATCGTCTATTCTAAGTTTTGTTATTGCAAATAGCATTGTGTTATATACTATACTTCGCTACTCTGAAAGTCGTTGTTTCCATGGCAAATATCGCGGAGGAACTCGTCGTTACACAGACTCATATAGTGGTGAATTATAAACGTGTGTATATTAAGTTTTGTGAGGTGCTGATTTCCCTCCTTTCATCAGTGAAGCTAGTGCCGAATCGTCTTTCTATTCGGAATCATGAACAACAAAATAACTGCAGCTTTGCACATGTAGAGAGAGGCTCGAAACTGATGCAGCCGAAACAAAACTGAAGAAATCACTGAGCATACTCCGGTGTCACAAGTTTCGATTTAGAATTTACTGATCACATTCATTTTAATGTGTTCTCAAGTAGTGCCCTTGAAATAAGGGCACCCAACTAGTGCAAACATATGTGATCCTTCTGGTAGGTACAAACCCTAGTTCAGATCGTGTTAGAAAAAAAAAAAAAAATTCCTCGGTGAATTGCTGCGTTGAAAACGGCACTACGTCTCCTTGTCGATCGGTGATCGAAAAAAATTAAGTGTTCACATCTGCTAAAAACAAACGTGGGGATGTTGCTGCTCAAGCTCTCTCACATGTTCTGTTCATGATATTAGTCCACACAAAACTAAAAGAGAGAATTTTATCATTTAAGAGACCTTGTACGACTCGTCATATGCGCCATTCCCTTGATCAGTAAAAGAGCTCCGAGCGCTCTAAAAAAGCCCGTGCTTTATTTAAGCAACAGAACTTGTGACACGGAGAACAGTCAGATACTTTCAATTCTGTAGAATTTCTTAACTGCTGTTGATAATGCTCTGTGCGTGCAGTTTTGAGTTTTTATTGTATTGTTTACTTGTACAATACATATATTATTTTATGTGCTCTATTTTTCGTGCCTCTTGATGTCCTTGTGACCTGTCAAAATGTGTTGCATTAAGCTGTGTGTTTGATCATTGCATTTCACACTTGCCCTAAAAGCTGCCATCCACAATATTTCTGTCATGACACGCCAATACTCAAAAAAAAAAAAAGTGTTGTCGGCCCTGTTTCATGTTTGTGAGTTGACCGGCACCTGTGCAAACTTTGTTCTATGGCTGTATTATGTGCTATGTTTGTGACTCTTTTCGATTGAATTATACTATGCAGAGATCCAATAAACAGAAGGGTTTGGATTTGGGCTAGTTGGTTGAACATGTTTAGGGTTTAAAAGCGCTAAAAACGACGGATGAGTAGGAGAGGCACACACCACAGAGCACTACTTGCAACTGGTTTATTATTGGAAAAAACACATACCGCGAAACCAACAAGACACACAACCGATTCAGTTCCAACCGCCGCTTATCACATTTCGTACTCTTACACCGTGCATGATCGTAAAAACGATAACTCTGATTCAAACAGGGTTATCGATGGGCCACTTACACACATACCCACGTCACACTCGGAAAATAAAAACGCTTCCGTTATCGCCCTTGTCTTTCCATTTTTGTTTCGTGCCAAGATGACGGTGTTGTCTAAATAGGGTAAACACTCACACCTATTGCAATGCACTGTGAGATTGCCAGAGGGAGGTGACCTCAATAGAGAGTTTTAGTAATACGTATATGGGCAAACGCAAACCCCCTACGTTAGCGTTAACGTTGCGTCGATGAAACGTTACAGAGCGCGTCGACTACGCACTTTTAGTACAGCGGAAGAAGAACGCATACCTAAAGACTTGTAGCGCCATCTAGATGTGCTCCTGTAAACTGCTTCAAACAATCCAAGGCGGGTATTCGCAGTATTCGGTCAAGCCAATCCAAAGTCCCGATTCTCCTCGCTTTGTTACGGAAGTGCGTGTTTCCGTGTGCCTGTTGCGTACGTGTTTTGTCTTTTTTTTTTTTTTGTACCGACCGCACGGTAAACACCTTTTTGGGTTCGACGGCTTCGCCAACATTCTTGGCTATAGACACCCATCTTTGTGGGTGCTCGAAAGGGTTCGTCGCGTTGACTTCTTTGTGGAGGTTGATGTCATCTTCTATGGTAAAGCGAACCCGTACAATGCGCGTAGCACTTCCGCTGGTTTGCCTCACCGCTTCCATTTTTCAAACTGGACTAGCCTCGCGCTCTCCCGTGCACGACGAGAGCAACGAGATGGCACGCAGGGGACCGCTACGTACGTTCGCAAAAATCGATAGCAAGCGTACATACGCAAGGCTCGCCGCAGTACGTACGTATGGCGCATGCGCAGTGTGGAGGACGCAACGTTAACGTTAACGTATGGGGTCTGCGTTTGCTCCTACACGTATTACTAAAACTCTCTAATGACAGGGCATGTTCCCTCAGTCTTTCGTTCCCGCATCGCCCCGACTGCCCCACGTATACCCTCCCACAAGGCAGAGGAATTCTGTACAATACCCCCACTCTGCATCTTACGTATTTTGTCGCCTGCTTTTTCTGACCAATATCCACCCGTGTGTCACCCCGTTCCACCCTCCCACATAGCTGGCTTAATTTCTGTGGAGCTGAAAGGAGAACCGAAATGCCATGCTTTTCCCCCACCTTTTTGATGTTATGGCTAACGTTGTGTATATACGGTATCACCACTGGCCTCTTATCTGGCTTGCCCCTCCCTTCCCCCTTCCCTCCTCCACGAAACTTCCTTAGCAAGCCCTCTACCACCCCCTTAATGATCTCACAGGGAAAGCCTCCAGCCTCCTCACCTGTAACCCGAAGCTTTCGGCTACGCTGTGCTGACAAGACTTTGTTAAGGCCGTGTGGTTTTTCCAATAATAAAGCAGTTGCAAGTAGCGCTCTGTGGTGTGTGTCTCTCCTACTCGTCCGTCGTTTTTAGCGCTTTTAACCCCTAAACATCTCCAATAAACAGTCCCCTAAATGAAAAAAAAATGACCGCATCTCCACATGGTGAATGACGTTGATTGGGGCGAAGCTCTGGTCATGCTGATGATACCGATTTTGTTCAAATGCTGATGGTGCTGATTTTTTTTCCATGTCAGAAAGAGAATGTGTGGTATGAAACGTGGTTATATACGCATTTGACCGCAGCGCCCTCTCCTGTACAGACGCTGAGTGGCTATCTGCAACGTTTCATCCATGACATCACCAGCTCTTGAGTTACTACCACATCTCAGAGCCCCTTACTTGTCCCACAGTCGTGGCCGAGTGGTTAAAGGCCGACGACCAGACACGAGTTTCTGCACGGCAGAAGATCCTCCTCACCCTGGGGGAGGAGGAAACAGACAAATGTGGACAGTGTAGAAGGGGGGAGAGGAGGAAGCGGGGAAAAAGTGGAGCGCGAACTGGTCGTCGGTCTTTAAGGCAATGGACTAGAAATCCATTGGGGTCTCCCCGCACAGGTTCGAATCTTGTCGACTGCGCAAACATTTCTTTTTTTGTTCTACGCGAGCACGTGAGCACATGAGCTCACGAGCACCAGCAAGATCGATGTGAGCACGGACGCCAGACGGACAAGGCTAGACCCTAAGGAGCTTAAAAGCAATCAAGTGAGAAAAACCACCAGCACAAGCGCATCTCCGCCACGATGCTCATGAAGATAACACTAGAGTTGCACCCACCCAGAGCCCAGTGGATTGATAGGTGAACCGAGAACTGGAGTTCAGGCACGTGGCAGGTGCGAGTCGGTTGTTATGCCCTGTCCAGTATCTGAAGTGCAGCACCAATGGCTGAGCGATTATCTACCCGGCGAAGAAAGGGGAGTCATCACTGTCTTGCCGTGGTACGAGCAACGATTTATACAACCCTCCCCCAATTTCTGAGATGCGTGATGCAATACCAGTTGCCAAGCCTGTCTGGTGTACTGGTGGCCTTACTGAAAGACACAAATTATTCCTGCTTTTACCAAGAAGCAGGAGGGTCACCTCATTCTACCGAGGACAGATAAAGTGTTTAGGATTATATTTACGCCGTGAGGCACACTTCAAGTCAGCAGCGAAACCGAAACAAACTTCTATTTTGAATGTCTCGGTGCCAATATTACTTATAAAAAAATTTCGGCAGAGACACTTAAAACTGCTTATCTGTAGGAATAGGAAAGCATTCCTACACGCAGCACATTCTTACAAGCAGCGTGCCACGTCTTCCTATCGCATATGGCACTGCAGCAGTGGCATCACGCTCCCCCACTGCACAGGCGCAGCAAGCCCAGCCGGCATCGAGACGGCTTCCGTTACAAAGCATTGCGTTTCTGTGCTTTCCTTTGAGTTTTATTTGGAATAACAAGTTAGATGCCGTTTTTCTGCTACAGATGGCTACAGACAACGATTACAGACAATGTTGGCTTTGCTCCATGGGATAGCTGATGCTTTCACCTTAAAAAAGAAAGACTCATTCATAGCAGGACACTTCTCCAGTCAGCCATTCAAAATGAAAAAAAAAAAAAAAAAAAACAAGTGCTACAAAATATCTAACAAATTAAAAAATTGTTGGAACTAAAAAGTGCATGATTATGGTGTTTGTTACGCTTCTGTACGTGTTTTATCATTGCTGGACCAATCATGTACAGGGACTGTCTAGTGACTCGTGCTCTTGATGCTGTTTGACTAAACCTCAACTTTCACACGCACGTTCCCATTCAAGGAATTAATTCAAACTCTTCATTACACATCGTAACTGACTCTGCACTAATGCAAACAGCAGGACCACATAGGCGTACATAATATGCCTCGTGAAATTTGTATTTCAGTTGAACTTTCATAAGCAATGCGCACGTCAAGATGAGCCCTCGTAACAGCCATGCAGCCAGACCATTACGAGGTGTCCTTTCTGAGGACACCTCGTAATGGTTTGGCTCCAGGAGGCAAACGTTGGCTCGTTGACGAAACAAAGACGACCCTTTGGGTGACCTAAGCCAGCTCCCGCGGAGCCAGTCGTCTGAAACGGATTCTTTTGTGGCCAGTTGGCGGCCCTCGAGCATCGACAGAGGCAGCTACAAAGTGCACCCAGCGCACAGGCAAATTCGTCGAGTGTTCTTTGCTCAATGAGTCTGGGCCACAGCAAACGCCTTCCCCTTCTCACCCGACGAGAGGCCAATGAAAAATGTGTACGATCTCTAGGTCCTCTGTGACGTCATGGCATCATGTGCCGTGATGTCTGTAAGGTTGGGTCACATGAAGGCTTGACAAAACAGTGTCACGTGACGACCGTCAATGACGTTGCTGGCCCGTGGATGCAGCACATGTAATAAAACGAGAGACAGCCACCTGCATGGGCAGAACCTTGGAGTCCCCTTCCAGAGAGAGCATCTTCTCGAAGGAGCAGAAGAGCTCGTGCAGGTCTCCCCAAAAGGCCTCTTCGTTGGGGTCTCCCGTCGCCCTGCAGGAAAGGGGCCCAGTCGCACCGGGAACGCACACAAAGCTAAGCCTGCTCTCTACGATGGGGATGACACAGCCGTAAGTACTACCTTTTATTGGCATACTCTCGGCTCTTACTGGAAGCCCCTAATGCATCTGTATCTTTCACTGATGCAAGCTGGCAGTATGGAAACTTCTCTTTGCGTCCTTGCTGCATCAGTTTCCGTCAGCCAATTCTATGGGGCACTACAGAACTCGAGCCTAACACAAACTAAAGAACAAAACAAACAAAGGACACACAGAGGACTAAACAAATCACGCATCAGGCGTGATATGATTCCCAGCATTCGAGAAGCAGAGGAAACATTTCGGGTTACATGGAATGAAAAAGAAAGGGAGCTGTCAAAAGAAACACCTAGGTGACAAATTTTCTGAACACGTTCAATAGAAGTATAGCCAAGTAGATACGGATATGAAATGATTTCACGTTTTCTACACAGCCAGAATTTCTGTTTTATCTGGATTGACCACTCATAAGTTATCAGAACACCACCCTGAAATGCAGGAAACGTCATCTTGTAAAAGAACACTATCATTCGTCGACTGAATTCTTAATAAAGCTTGATATCGACTGCAAATAAGAAAAAATAGGCATTCCTTACACACGATTCCGTATCACTAATAAATACGAGAAGAAGGAGCGGCCCCAGGTTTGACCCTTGAGGTACACCTGAAGTTGGTACAAAAATGTCCGATAATCTATTCAAGACACGTCACTTTGACGATCCTCCACCCAGCTAAATATGTTCATTAGATCGAATTCTAACTGGTTTTAGCTGGAACCAATTGGTTTTAGTGGGTTCCAATTGGAAGCACACTGGCCAATGGGTCCCTCCAATAACAATTTCCAGTTGTAAGCTTAATGGGTTATAAATGGTTCCCATTGCAGTGACCAATTGGTTGTCTGAAAACCTAACTGGTACCAACTGGAAATTCCAATTGGAATCTAATAGAAATTTTCAACTGAGTAGATAACTATAGAACCACAATAAAAGTAGTAGTGACACACCATATTAATAAAGTTCATCCAGAAGCATTTGGTGGTTTATCTCATCAAAAGCCTTCGATAAATCAAAATAAACAATATTGACTTGCCCTCGTGCAACAACAAACGGCACAGTGTATTTGAATACGGTACTCTCACGGTACTCTCACAAGATTTTATGGTGTATATATTGAAACAAATCAATGCTCTTTATGCTTCGGTATATAAATCTAAGTATAACACGAAAAACCCCAATTCCAGAAGACTACTTGGAATCGAAAGAATAAAACATAGAGCACAAGCACAGGGTAACCACATTCTTTCATTTAGCAACGTTTATTTTGAGCAGGAAAATTGCAGCCTGAACGAGACCCCAACTAAGATAGGGTGGTAAGGGGGAAGGAAAACTGGGAGATGGAAAGTTCTAACCGGCGCGGGGTCCGTAGTGGCATGGGGTTGCGGCGGTTAGTTTGATCGGCACGCTGGCGGCACAGACACGCCGCGCCATCTGGCGGCGGTCGTTGAAACAGACGCACGCAGCGGCCAATGGGAGCCTCATCGCCGCGTGCCACCCAATAGGAACTTTGGGACCAGGGAAACTAGGTGCCGTTCTTGCGCTTCAAACTGATGACGTCGGCTCGCTCCATGAGACAGTTAATGCTATAGACCACTTAAACGTAACCGCTTATAGTGCAGGATTGGGTATAACGCGGCTTTTTTCAACCACCGGTTCGCCTCCCATATAAGTCCATGTAATTACATACCGCTTAAAATGCAGGCGCGCGAAGGGAAATACCGGTTATAGTACAGTTTCTGGAGCAGCCCGCCGACCGCGCTGACCAACCGGCGCAGCGAGCACGCTTCCCTGTGCGACACTAGATAACGGCGCTAGCCGCAAGCAGCACTCGCAAAACAAGGAGGTTGCTTGAAGAAGCGGGGAGAAGCGAAGAGAGAGGCTTCAGTTGCCATAGCGACGGAGGGACGCACGCACGTGTCGTTCACGTGCGTGCGTCCCTCCGCTGAGTTGGAACCACGACCAACCCTAGTCAACGCCGCCTGTGTTGGTTGGAAACAACCGCAACGACAGACCAATCGCAGGTCGAAGAGAAGTGTTCGCGCGCGTTGCATGCCGGTTGCGGGCCGGCTTCTTCTATCGGCAAACATGGCATCGGTGGTGATCGTCGACGTAGCATGGTGGAAGCAGTGGAAGCTCATCGTTCTGCATAAAAGCGCTATCCTTGACTGTGAATTTTCATTACCGTATTTATTCGAATATAGGTCGACCTTTTTTTTTCGGAAATGTTGTCAAAAATTAAGGGTCGACCTATAGACCTTTTCCACAAGGGCGCCGCCATCTTGAATTGTCGTCACTTCCAGTATGGGCGAAAACATTACTTTGCCGTCGCCACGCCAATAGAAGACATTTAGGACATAAGCCTAACCGTCACACATTCTCGTTTTGGCTCCACTCTATTTTTTTACTGGTTACAGGTTGAAACGTTTTACTTTTTTTTCGTCGCCCATACTGGAAGTGACGACAATTCAAGAAGGCGGCGCCCCTTTGGAAAATGTCTATAGTCGTGACCAAAGAATTTCGACCTAATTCGCGACCAAAATTTGAAACCCTACCGAGGGTATAAAGCTATCAATCACCTAGCCGGCGTCCCAGTAGAGCCGCGCGGCTTCTTGTTTCAAAAAGCTTTTGATGCACAAAAACAACCGAACAGCAGCAGCCGACAGCCCGTGGCCGCCGACTACGGCTCTCGCGCACATACCGTTGACATAGCTCGGGCGTCGAGTTTCGCCATCACGCCTGTAGCGTTCCCCTCGCAAGGGGGAAGGCGAGGGAGAGGAACGCGATGCGCCATGCACTTTGCACTTTGCCCTCCTATGCGCTCCATTCCTCTCTCCCTCGCAAACGCCCAAACAAAAAAAACAAAAAAACACGGAGGTACTTTAGTTTGTTTTTTCCGGCGGGTAGCGTGTTGCTCACGAGGCTGGCAGCGTTGCTCGCGTCTTTGTGTTTGATCTTTCGTCGCTCGCCCGTCTCCACCTTCTTTCGTTTCTTCTTGTCATCATTCCTTTTACAACGCTGTCAGTGAAGTATCGTTGCCAATTTGCGAGGATGTCTACCAAGCTGACGAAGCTTTTTTGACATTGCCCTGTGATTTAGCTGAGAGTGCTGTAAATAAAGGTTTGTTTCTTTCGCCATAACTTTCCCCTGTTCCTTAAAAAAAAAAAAAAAAAAAGAAAGGTCGACTTATATTTGAATTATTTTTTTTTTTATTCTCGGTGGGCTCAATAAATAGGGGTCGACCTATTTTCGTGGTCGACCTATTTTCGGGTAAATACGGTATGTGTCGCTATGATAACCCAGCACGTACTAGAAGGGAAGATCCACCTATTCGTGCGGCGATGTCGTGGCGGCACTCTCGAGACGGCAGAAACGCCCGTGTCGTCGTGTTTGTTTACTTCGACTATGATGGTGCTTTCTAAGCATTTGTGCTTTCGAACATCGCCCGGGTTTCGTATTTGGAGCATTTCATGCCTGTGCTCAAGTTGAAGGTATTACTGGCGCGTACCGTATAAAGGATGCAAATTTTCACACGTTTTCATCGCCGGAGAAAAGTGATTAGGGTTAGCAATCCTGAACGCTCGCAACGTCCGACCACAACCCGCGACACCTATAAAAGGCTGCGCCAGGCAAAAGTCGCTCATTTCTTTCAAAATGTGCGACACACTTGAGAGAGAAGTGTACTAGTCTGGTGAAATAAAGACTTTCCTGAAACTAAGCTTTCTTTTTCATCTAACATAAAATAAATTATTTTAAAAAGATAGGTTGTCTCATGGCATGTATTTTGGCCTGAAAAACTGATGTTTTGGTTATAGTGCAGTACCACTTATACAGTCAAACTTATTTATAACGAACAGCAGGAAACGCTACGATCAGTTCGATATAGCAAAAACCATTTACAACGAACTTCCACGATGCGTTCGTTATAAGGCGACAGCCTTCTCTTTCGCTCTGATCTTTTCGCTTTCAACTTGTAATAAAACGCTGGAAAAAAAAATCTTTTTTTTTTTTTGCCTGCGTGCAGAGCTTTTTTTTTTTTTTGGCTTATCTCCCCTTACTGATTTTAAACAGCGCACAAAAAGTCGGCGGAAGAGAAAAGGACAGTAGAATGAAAGAGCGTTGACTCCCAACTGATTTATTTAGAAAGAAGTGAAAAGAAGGAAAAAGAAGTCACGAAAATTTAACCCCACGTGAAGTGAAGATAAGATAAAAAAAACAAAGAAAACGAAGAAGAAAAGGAAAAACTATGTACAGGTTAAAAGAAACAAAGAAAACAAAGAAGAAGAAAAGGAAGAAATTAGAAAATTAGAAAACTGTACTTTCACCCTTGGCCGGCCAGAGTTACTGTGCTTAGGCGTTGGCTAAAAAAGACACCTCCTTAGCACTCAGCGACAGGGACGGTTGGCTGACGCATTGCTGTCCTAGTTTTTGAATTTCAAAAGCCTTCGACTTGCATAACAATATCAACATTTATCAGAAGTTTCGTCTCCTATACGGGAGACATCATCAGTGCGGCCTGGGAACACCCGACTACCTACCAGAAATCCAACGCTTCTTCTTCCTTCTCTTCATCCGTGGCGCTGGTTCTGCCGACTTCTTCGTCCATGGCATACGGGAGACATTATCATCGTCTGCACTTGCTTTAACTTTTTTTTACGTCCGTCCTGGATGGTAAGTTAAATGACAAGTTATTTCAGGATGTCGGTGTATACGTCGGGGAGGGGGCCGCGGTTAGAATTGCAGGCAGATGGGTCACTCCGAATACACCATGATTCCAGAAATCTTCTGGGGCCCCACCGTTGTTCGCGTGCCAGGGTCACGGCATTCGCCAGGTCGAAAGTGTGACCAGTCGTCCAACAATGGTCCACCAGTTCAGTTTTAGAGCGCAGCTCTTAGGCGCCTG